CCGTTTACGATCTCAGATGATCTGTTTGGGAGGTAGTCGTTATCACCACTACCCTTTCACCCTCCCCCCCCCCCCCACGCAGCATGAATTAAATACTGAACTGAAAGACCCCCGGCATCCTCCCCCCCCGCTATCGGGGTCCACCTAGCTCGCATTCAAAGGAGTGCCAAAAAAGCTCGGGGCCCATCTGCAATAATCGACCGGTTGGGAGGATCGAGTAACAAGTCTCAGCCAGGAACACCTGGTTGAGCATTGCCGCTGCTGGTCGGTGGATTACTTAATCTATTTTCGAAAAAAAAAAAAATAGTCCGGTCATTATAAATCCAACAGGTTGCAGCAGGTCAAATGCCTCGCGCTTCCAAAATGAGGCAAAAAAGCCCGACGAAGTGAAGCCCTGAAACCCCGACACACAAAAAAGCGCCACCCCCACCATCCGCTGAATACCGGAAGAGCGAAGCGGATAGATATCCGGAGCGATCGAGCGTTAGCGAGTGGCATCAAGTGATTTTTCCAATCGACGAGCGGGCGCCGGACACCCCTGGCTGGCCTTCTTCATTCGTGGGGTGCGGGCTAACAATATATCACCACCTTCCTCTCTAACTGCATTATTATAACATTTACTATAACGTGCATTGTTTTTAATTCAATTTTCTTTTTTTATCAGGCCTCAATGTAAATAAATTCAACTACATACTTGCACATCTCAGGCAGATGAGTTGTGTAACAAACAACCTACCTTCTACGTCCTTACAGAGATATTTCATTCATACTAGATCACGGGGGATACATGTAATTGGCAACAACTGCCCTTTCTAGTTTATATAATATGGCATGGTGATATGGATAGCACGAACTGCGACGAAGCACGAACCACAAATAAAAATCCGAAGTTCCACCTTGAAGTTTTTCTGTGACGTCCGACGGGCACGTTTGAATTTCTACCTAAGCTGGTCTAGTGCTAACCCAACCAGGCTGTGTGACTAACGTCAATATACACAGGGCTAGGTCCCCTAACCCTAGCAAAGACCGTTTCTTGGAGCAAGTCTAGTGCCAGTGCCAGACCGCTGCCACTACTCACTAAGCACTACCACTACCACTACCAGCACCAGGGCCAGGCTGGTCTCCCCCCCCACCCCCGGGGGTGGGGAGGTACTTCGATTATATCAAGAGTACATAATAGAGATCTCTATCATGTAGGCCTACTCTTGATTATATTTAGACGGGGGTGTGAGGCTGAAGCCTTGAAACCCTTACCCATATCCAAGGGTTCTTGTGCTGTGAATATGTACCAATGTGACGTCTAAGGAATTTTGTGTGTGAAAATGGGACCCATGTCTACGGATTTGAAACATCACATTTTCCAACGATACAAAATATAATATTTGTAAAAAAAATGCAGTGGCCGCCGTCGTTCGTTGAAGCCCCTTTTTGGCGTTAGAGTTAGGGTTAGGTTTAGGGTTAGGGTTCTAGCTCATCTAAATTAACTCTCAAATCGTGAATTTATTTCCCAAAGCGTTATTTCGAAATCTGGCGCCAACGCTGCCATCTTTGTCTGGTTAAGTATGAAAGCGAATGGACTGCCGTACCCGTAGCCTCGAGACATTTAGATACAGCTGCCGTACCCGTAGGCACTGCCTAAAAAAATCCCTATATGAAGGCAAAAAATGAAAGGAAAATAAGGAACCATGCATTCATGTCCAAGGTTTTTTTGTGTGAAAATGGGACCAATTTCTAATGATATTTCAGTTATTTCATTTCAACTCCGTCAATTCAACGTCAATCAGTCCGCCAACTCAGTGGGCCGGTGTAATCTTTTATATATCGGGCTGAGAGAGAATAATACTATATATCCTTTCATGATATAATCCTGCATCCTGGTGTAACGTTGGAATTATGTTACTGGGCAAAGAATCTCAACACAATTTCAAGATACATTTCATTCTCCTGGTATTATTGTTAGAATTACATACATACACAATTTCCTGAATACATATAGACCGATAAGTGTGGTATATAACCTCTCGCAACGTATACACCATCAAGTACAACTGTTGCATAATCACCACCTTGTTTGTAAATGCTTTGCATTTGTCAATGTATGAAAGCTAGCTGTATTCCTATAAGTTCTGAACACTGCTACAGTATTCAACACTGATAAATAACGAAAATTCAAGAACCACATAAACACAAATCTTGGAAATAAGAGGCGAGATAAACTTCACAACTATATGATTGCTCAAAATCTATGTTACTTCCACGTGCATCCAAACCAACTAAACACTAGCAAAATTTGAACAATAATTTCACTGCACGTTGACAGGTAGCAGCAGGATTCACCATTTTCTAATACAGGAATGCATATGTGAATCAAACCCTATTTAAAAATATCAAAAAATATTTCTAGCAAACATTAAATTTATACTAAATACTGGCTTCCATAATTACTGAATTCAAATATGTATGAAAAATATTGAAATACCCTGGCACTAATGGTATGGATATATCCATATTAAATTAGAATATGACGGCATAAATTACACATTTTTAGTCTCAATGTGCATGTTAGATTATTAGACATATAAGTACTTATCACACATGCAAGTGCCTTCAGCAGTTTATACAATAGCCTACATTCTGAGACCTTGCTAAATTAATGGAAATTTTATATCACAAATATGCTTTAGATAAAGCGATCATGTCTATATAAGAAACCATTTCCTCATTATAAATTTGCATAAACTACATAAACTCCTTAATATAACCAGAGGGCAACCAAGGCTTCATGTTTGCCACTTGGTAACACCTAGGCGAACTGCTTCAGGTTAGAGGTGAAAGATGTTTCTCCATCCACTGCCAGCAGGAAAGGTGGAACAAACTGCTTTCCAGCCACCTTCTCCTTCAAGCCCTACAGAAACATAAACAAGATCTCACAAACATGAGCTATATATACTCCCTCACTCTATGCCCAAAGCAAAACCACATGGGGTAGGACACAATTATATAGACAATGTAGGCCTAATGCTAAGCTAATTTACCTAGCAAATTGTTATAAAAACATCGAGTTTGTAATAGTTTAGACAACCTACCGTTAAACGTTTCATAGTGATAATGTGCTAGCTACGCATCAGAATACCAAAACAAAACATATACGATGAATTAGATCCTTGCGCTCATGTGACCCTTATATCAAAGAATAATACCATCATATATAACAGTATTTCATATAAACACAATGACAGTAAAACCAAGAAAAACAAACAAACATACCTCGCCTGCATAGGACACTAGGGGAGAAATCTCGCAGGTAGGTGGTTCTAAGATAACAGATTTCCCATCACTGAAAAAAAAAAACCTGCTGTAAATAATAATGCAAATGTTTTATGTAGGCCTATACATCATTAACAAATAAATAACATTTGCTGTTGAAGACAGTTTTACAACAAATGTGACAAGTTAGGAGTTTATAAAGAGAAATATGTATTTTTAACCTAGCTATATAAACACGTTGCAGTGGTGTTTTATCAATTTCAAAAATTATAAGATTGCAATACATAAGGAATCTGAGTGTAAACTTTACATGTAAGGCAGATGAGAAAGTTTACATAAACAGTATGGTGCATTATGATACATGTGCATTGCAGACAGTGCCTGAACAATAACAGTAATTAATTGTTACATTACATACAACGAAGCAAATGTAAAACAAGTGCCGCGGAGCGACAGCGCTCATCAAACGTCTACTGCGGTGGCTCTGTGGTGGAGTCGTGGGATTCTAGTAAACCCTGTTAGTCCCAAATGTGTTCACATACACGCCGAAACAGTGGAAGGCACAGGAATGGTATCAGGAACCTTCTCAAAGGAATGTTCGTTGGGATCGTTATGAAAGTTGCCACGAGATGGCGCGTACGTTTAAGTGTCTTCAGATTAAAGATGGAAGCTACCATCATACATAGTAGCAACAACTATTTGCAAAACAGAATAAGTAAGCACTCATCCATTTACCCTAACGGCAATCGCTTAACAGCGTGCTCGAACGCCACGAGAGGGCTGGCCCAACTTAAGCTAATTAAACGCCAGGCAAAAACTTTACACAGTAACAGTCACCACAATGCCGCTCTAACTTGGCAGTGGCCACTGGCAGTAGGCATTACGTTAGCATGTAACACACTGACAGTACAGAATGGGCCATAGCAAATTAATATAAATTTAAAGAGCATAAAACCTTCTTCAAGCGCAAAAATTTAGCTTTTGAAATTTCAGGCTGTGACGTGCTATTGTAGCGACCTCATCATCACAGGCATATATAGGATCTACTAAGCGAAACCTCAGCAGTCCGAAAATTCTTTTCTACAGTAAAGCAAATCCAGTTTATACGGGGGCGCGGCCTCTTGAGGTCAACTAAGGATTATCCGACCACTATTCTGCGTTCGCATGTCAGCAGAAAGTACATTTATCATGGTCCTTTTTTCACAATACAAGAATAAAACATGCTAGTTCACCCTGCTGACAGCAATAAACAAGTTTTCAATCGCTCTGTCAGACCCATGTGCCTCCAGAAAAACTGTCTAAAATCTGCCCCGTGTGCCGGCATTGACGCTTTTGACCTGTGACAGATCACAATTTCGGCCAGCAGCTGATGGGTTTTCCCTCACCTTTTATGCATCGGGCTATAACACGGCGACTAATTTCACGAGCCTAGGCTCAGGTCGCGTTTAGATTTGCTGCCAGCAATTTGGGCATTTCCTCGCGGCTATAGTCGCCTGGTTATAGTTACCACGAACGGGAATGTGTGCGCCTTCTTCTTACACGCTCTTGACCTTTGACCCCCCAGCTTCGATATCACGAACCTCGTTTCGGAATCCCCGCGCCGCCCCGGTTGCCCAATCAATCACTGACGCCTACGTCAACGCGGTTAAGGATTTTGTCGGACGGCCTAACCTTTGACTGGAACGGACGGCCACGGAAGCGCCACCGCATCGAATTCAAAACCGCGATTCTATCAACGCTGGGCATCATGCACTTACCTGTCAGATGAGGGCTAAAAAATTCAGTGCGATGAGAAGCTCCAATATTAAATCTTCCTATTTAGAGTTAAGTGAGTCTAACGAAAGAATGCTTATCAGGCGACAACCTTAGGACCAGGTTTACAGATATGATCAGCATTGATCATTCGAACCATAGTGCTCTTTGTTGCATTGTTATTTCTCTCCATGGAGCCCCTGAATGATATATAAAACCACCCACACACAATTAAAGTAATAACAAACAAGTGCCGCGGAGCGACAGCGGTCATAAGCTTATACGTCTACTTCCCCGCGGTGATCTGTCGGTGAAGTTGTTTGTGGGATTCTTAAGTAAAGATCCACTGAGCTCTCAGTCCCGCAAAATGTGGGTTGGCACATACACGCCGAAACAGTGAAAGCACAGAGGAGGTAGTCAGGGAACCCTTCTCAAAAGAGGAATGGGGTTCGTTGGGATCGTTATGAAGTTGCCACCGAGATGGCGGGCGTAACGTTTTAAGTGTCTTTCAGATTAAAAGATGGAAGGCTCCCATCGTAGCTTGTAGTAGCAACAACCTAATTGGGTGCAAGACAGACATAGGTAGGAGCACTCATCCCATTTAGCCTACGCAAAGCCTACAGGCCGAAATAGAGAGCTGACCACCTGTAAGGTAATTTAACGGCAGGCAAAAACTAAACAGCAGTAGCCGATACCAGCCACATGCACTGGCCAGTGGCAATAACGTTACAATCAGGGCCGTATAAATGACAAATATTATTTTTGTCATTATACGCTGCATGGTTACATGTACAACCACTGACAGTACACGGAATGCCATAGCAAATTATACCGATTTAAGGAGGCATAAACCTTCTCAAGCCAAATTTTAGGCTATTTAAAAATTTCACTGTGACATTGTTTGGCCTCATACATCGCAGGAATGTATAGATTCTCTAGGACGGGAAACGCCAGCAAAAGTCAAATTCTTTGCTAAAACGTAAACAAATCCATGTTTTAGACTGGAGTGAGGTGCAGCGTCTGCCCGCCTCTTGAGCGGTCAAATAAGTTATCCGACCCTAACATATTCTTGCGGGCATGTCAGGCAGAAAAGTACAATTTCATGGTCCTTTAAATAAAGGACATAAAAATCGCTAGGTCAGCAACGGCTGAATTAAGCAAAAGGATTTCTCTCTCAACTCGGGTCCGTCAGACCATGCTCCTCGGAGAAAACTCGTCTAAAATTGCGCCTGTGGGCCCATTCGACTCTTGGCTAGCACCTGTGACCTCGCAATTTCGGCACAGGGATGGATTTTCCTACCATGATGCTATACAACGGTTGTGGCGGAACGAACTCAGATATAATGAGACCAAGGCCACGGCAAACGCCCACTCTCATCAGTCCAGGAGAGTTCGGCCCCGCAACTAACCTACTTGAAGCCCTAAGGTCCCGAAGCGCGTTTAGTATTTGTGCAAGCAAATTCCTGGCAATTTCCGTCCCCTATACTTAAGTTACGGAGGGAATGTTCGCCTTTCTTTTACACCCTCTTATGACGCTTTGACGCTTTGACGCCCGCCAAGCTTCGATATCGCCCAACTCGTTTTCGGTTTATTAACCGGGCACCCCCCCAACGTCGCGCGGATATCGTTTGACGCGTGGACGTCGAGCGGTGGTAAGATTTGTGCGCCAACTGTTGACGGACGGACAGACGCAGCCTCATGCGAATTCTACAAAGGGCTGGCATCTGACTACCTGTAGTATGAGGCTAACGGTGGCGGGCAGAATTAACGCGCAGATTTTTGCCGGCGGCCGTCGGATTCAACCCCCCATACGCCAATTGGTCGCAGGCCTAGTTTCTACTTAGCTCATGCACCAAATTTGCCATATCTTGCCTTTATATCAACAATATTTACGGCAATTTCCTGACTAGTTTTTTGACTTAATGAATTCGTAGTGACTACTAAGAAGTAAATCATGTTCCAGGAATTCCTGTCAAACAAGTAGAACTCCACTGATAGCATTGAAATACTGAAATACTACGAGTATGGCTAATAAACACAAAGCTAATACTTTTATTAATTATGGAATAAATTGAACAAAATCAAGACCTGTTCAAACTTGTAATGGCCTGTTCCAGTTGTCTAAGGGTCTGTTTAAAATTTTGGGTGGGCCTGTTCACATTTTGGCTAATTTAATGCACTGACAGAATACTGCAAAGGTAGGTGAAAATGGTGGGATTTACAGTCTGATAAATGGTAGTTTTTAAATAATAACTTTAATAAATAAAATTCACTTTTACTACTAGGATATCCCAAGGTGAAAGGATCAAATATAAGTACCAGACAGCTGCTGGAATAGGAGTTCCATCTTCCTTTACAAGCTTTCCTCCACTCGCCTCTATGCGACGATGGTTAAGAGAGAACAGGTCCTGACGGGCAGTAGTTGGTGTGTCTTTACTAGCACTATCTGCATTCTTTAGTGGGGAAAACTCGTCGTTCCTGAGTGCTTCCCAAACAGCAAAGTGGCTGCAATATTATAGGAAATACAGAATTCATAGCATTAGTTGATTACCAATGTTTTAACTATATCATTAAACTCCAGCAATGACATGCCAACATTCAATATTTCCCTGGTATCAGTTTCAGTCATCATGACTCATCTGTTTTTCAGAAAGAAATCCTCACAACAATCAAGCATATACATATCTGTTCTAAAATAATCTCTACTAAATTCTATCACGAGTATCTGATGAAGTATAATAAGGTAACAAAGTATCAACATACTTGGCAAACTGGAAGACATCAAACACAAACTTTTCCATCTTTATTCCATTTGGGGTGGTGGGTTTTACAGTCTGACCATCCCCATCGCAGTATGGAATCTTCTTCTTGGCAACATGATGCTTTAGCATGCTTTCTTTCTCACTGTAACAGCAGTGATGAAATAAAGCAGGAAACTATAGACTACCAAGGAATGAAACAAACTTAAATTACTTGCTTGTGTAACCATATTTTTAATTTTGACTTCAACATGTACTTTTGAACTGCTGCTATATGTTGAACTATTATTTGCTTTTACAACCTATATATCAATATTGCAATAGTGCTACAAGACATATGCTTGTGAATTTGCAAAATATTTGACTAAAACTGTAAAAGATTAGTTAAAAAGTATTTCTGGCTACTTGGAATTTCATATAGCAAATCGAGAGAGCAGAGATGGAAGTCTAAATAATTTAAAAAAAAAAAAACTTCACACCCGAGTACACGCTAATAAATTTCACAAAAACCAGGAATTTAAGAAGTTGCTATTTTCGCTCAATTTTTTTATGCATGTTTGGTGAGAAAAGCCATGCAATGTTTGCGCATTTCTATAGGTCAAGGTTTTGCAGTTTTGATACAGCCTCCTTACTTGACAACAGCCTTTAAGAAGTCCATGGTGAAGAAATGGTTGGCGATGTTGCCTGAGCTAAAGAGAAGTCGGCCATCTGCTGTCCTTTTTTCTGCAGTCTGTGAAGTAATCTCACTGTATTCCACTACTTGGTATACTCCGTTCACCAGACATACCACACCAACTGGTTCTGTTGGCATCACCTTTTCTACAACCTGCACGTATCGAGAAGAAACAAACATCTAACAAAACAATATTATATAACGACACATGAAGGGACGGAGACGTATACACAGTAATATTTCGATCATTAACCCGTTTTAGCAAAGATTTCATGTTTGCTTGCATATTATTAGTTACATTACTATTGTTATAATACCATCGACCTCATATCACTGCTATCCATTTCTTTGCCCACCAACATGCGTCCAAACACACACATTTCAATACATGTATAAGTAGAATTACCTTGTTCCCACACTCAGCCTCCTTGCTGATACAAAAACCCATAAACACTGGGTCAGCCATCTTTACTAGGATGTTGTCCACACAGTATACGTGTACAAACTTGACTCTTCTTTGCTGCATGTCTTCCAGTACCCCGCCCACACGTAATGCTCTGTACAGCCCACCATTACCATCTACAGGAAAGAACGGCAAGTACTGATCACAAACTTTATATCCAGATGAGATGGGATACTAGAGAAGCGTTGCCGAAAGGAGGTGTTGATCCGAAGCGCTGAGCGCAGATCTTGCGCGCAGTTCCGCGGCAAGGCGCACGCGACCGCGGGAACGTCCTACGACAGTATGCAGCGCTAGCAGCTATGGATCCGTGCGCCGAATGCATAGGCCGGTGCACGGATCCATAGCTGCCAGCGAACAGTCCGCAATTTTAGTGGGGGACACAGAGAGCAGATATTTGGGACGTGAACAGTGTTCACTTGTTATAAAAACATAATGTCTCTGTTCGTAACCGAGCTCACGAAAATCCCAAGCAGCAGCATAAATTCTGTATTTTCCACAGTAATTTCTGCATTTCCATAGTTTATATACTAGGTTTACTTGTTATCCAACTTTATAAATACCTGGTGCTTGTGCTATTTTGCAAGGACTCTCCAAAACAATTTTCCCATCAAACGTGAAGCAGGGAAGGGTGCACTGCTGAAAGAATGTGACATTCTTTTCATCAAGACCAAAATATTTGTTCTTTTCGAAGAAGGCTTTAGTTGGTTCCTTTGTAGGTTTGCTTGTCATGATGTACCTTAATATAAATAATAATATAAATTAGCAATATAATTGAGTCATAGCACAGGTTTTGTCAAAATGGAAATTATCAGTATTACTTTCATAATTTTGCATCACAATGTTTAACTTAACACTTAAAATTTACTTTTTGACTGAAGTTAACATACATATCACATATTCTATATATGCATGCATCTTCTGCAGCTCACATATCCACATCCAGAGTATATATTATATCAGGAGTGAATAATAATATATTATTATAAACTACTATTATTCACCCCTGATTATATCATATATGGTATATTGCCAGCATTCTCTGTTGTCCTCAGGCCAAATATTATGTTGCAGATATGATGTATATCTAGAGATACATGATGTCTGTGTCTTCTTTTATTCCCTGTAGTAACCAGGGTATAAATTGTATAGTATCAAGAGCGTATTAAGAAGGAGAGCGTACAACAGTGAAATGCTGAAACCATGCTGCAGTATTACAGCGTATTAGTCGAATAAATAAACTTTGCCCGTTTTATTTTGACGATTCGTTGTAGTATTATTGATCAGCTGTCCTACCTTGCTAATATAAAATAAATCGCTTGTCCCTACGATGCCTTTACACTGAGATAATGAGCAGTGAAAATCTGGTATTTTTGCCAAAAACCGACTCGAGATACGTAGTGGCTGCGACTGTCTCTCGTTCTGGCGATAACTTCGGGAAACCTCGCGTGTTTCTGTCATTCATTGACAATAAAATTT